TCGTTGCCGTCATCCAATCAATATGCATTTTATGTATATGTGTGGTAAAAACCTTTTTTTTTGCTCTAGGTAACCAGTATGTTGCTGCGATTATGCAGTTTGGGCATGATGCTCATCACTTTGATACTATGTGTCCAAATGATCGAAGCCGATGTATCCAATGTTAGGAGAGCAGCACACGGTAAGCAACCCATCTGACTTTGGGCGCTTTGTTTTTTTTTTCTTTTTTTCGACTACAGAAAGTCAATTTCACTTATAAAATTACTCAATTCCAATTATTTCTACAATTACTTAAAATTAGTAATATTGGAATTGAATTGTGGGGGAATATTTGGAATACCTGGTCACGGAGATGGTTACAGTCGGGCTCATACCCATGCTGTTCAAAGCTCGGATCAATTAATTTTTCCCAAAAATTTGATTATGCCTCACAAGAATTTACTGACTACCTTGCCCGTCCTTCTTTTAATATGTATTATTGGTATTATAGCACCGCAGCAGCCTCAAATAGCTCTACTATCCCAAATGGGTGTCGAGTATACGCGGCTCTCAAAGTGTTCTGGCTGAGACCAGGCACTTTACTTTTTCAAAATTGAAAGTTTTGTAGCTATTTGGAAGTAAATTACGGCCCTCAAAAGCTATAACTCTGTTGTTAGTCAAAATGGACGGATTTAGAATGGCAACGAAATGTCTAATAGACCAAATAAACTTCCTCTCCCTCTATAAAAGGGTAATTGGCCCAAAATTTCCCATGAAAGCCATTAAGCGATAGAGAAATAAAGAAAGGATTTGTTCGGGGGAAGAGAGGGCTCTAGTAGTTACCAAGATGAAAAAAAAGACAAAAAATAATAGATAAGTGGCTAAGTAGTCCCATTCCGGGATGCGCAACCCATCTGACAACCACTCGGAATGGTAATGACCTATACAATGAATGATAAGCGGTGGCAAGCCGATGTACAACTCAGTGCTTTTATCCTCCCATACGAGTCTGGTACCAATTAATCGAGGGATGGAAAGCATAGGTGGCCCAGGTGGATATCGACTTGGAACATGCCTGTTTGAAGGGCGCTACTCGCCACTACACCACCTACACCCTTCAAGCCAAATCATGGATAGGCGGGTTTGATTGGTAACAATGACAGAATTCATCGCCCATTCCTAGTTCCAACCTTTGCGATCACTTCCATACTACAATGAGAACGTCAGTTTCTGGGTACTACAATACGCTTAACAAAAGCCAAACGGAAATATACTTTTGTCAGACAAATAGTCCATAAGCGACCGGAAACTGGTCAAAATGCCTTTTTCAATGTTTGCCGTCATAGACTGGAAGTCAGCGCAATTTGCAGAAAGACTTTTGCTAAACCGCTTTGGAAAAAAAGCCAACCATACAGATGCACTTGATTTTGGCGTTATTTCCGTAAGGGGCTTCATCATAATGTCGTAACAATTATGTAGGATGCGCCATGCATGTGAGTTGCGGCTTTTGAATCAGGAGGGCTCAGAAGAAATGCAAGACTGATTCCTGTAGCGACCATGGGATCGCTCATTCAATCACCAAATCTGTAAGCTTTCCATCCTTTCATGAAGATCATGGGAAAGGTAGAAGATTCATCGTAACCCAGAGCTTCCCACCTCAGGGACCGTTTGAGAGTTGTCTGCTCGGAAGAGAATACGTGTGTAGGCAATAGTACCAGCTACATTTGGAGCAGCTACTGCTGTAACCAGACGACGGGGGTGGTGCAGTAGCAAGTGGCGCACCATCCGGATTCTGGATCGGTACTTACCCAAGCCACCGAACCGTTTCAATTCGATGGGATCAACTAATTAGTACCAGACTTGTCTGGGAGGACGAAATTACTGACTCATACATCGGCTGACTATCGCAACTCATTGTATGGACCGTATACGCGTTTAAAATATCACTACGATTCTGAATGAAAGTTGAATGTGGGGCGCATCTCAAAAATGCGACCGCTTACCACCAAAGACTTTATCTCCATTCTCACTACTGGTCCGATAGGTCTGTGGGGATAGCTAAGTACCTCTAAAACCTTCTGTTGAGTTCTAATTCTTTCGCGATACCTCTGTTCATAATAAGAACTATCCTTTTCCAAGCGACAGCTAGATTTGGCCAATTTCGTTTGTCTCTATTGAGTGGCACACCTCTAGAAGCCGTCAATGGAGGGGAAAATCAGTGGGTAGACATGAATATTGCTTCTTAGTCAGTTGAAAGCCGAACTATTATTTCTGGTTAAGTGCTCCGTGCATGGGCAAGTGGAAAGGATGTTTTCGTACCTGTAAGAAAAAAATTAGAGCCAGTAATGGAATGCATTGAGTGATTTGATGGCTCTGTGCAGTCAATGAATATTCTTGAATGTTCTGATAGAACAACTATGCTCACTCAGCCGTTATGTGGGGGCTTAGGGCTATACTAAATAATAGGCTGATGCATAATTATTGCGGATTTTTTTGGTGCTTCTTTTCTCTCGATACAACTTGGATATTAGAATCCAGGATTGATAGAAATAACCTTCTTTCTCTTCTCAACAAAAATAAGTCTAGAAAGTCATCTTCATGTACGCCACATTATGCTCTATTACTTCGAGAAAAGTTGGAAGGTGGCCCAGTCATAAGTGTTCTCAACGAACCTACCTACGATGGAACAATCAGCCAAAGGCGAATAAAAATGGAATCTGCATCTACATACGGTCGCCCTATTCACCAACAGCAAGTCCTATGGATTGTCATGTCCATCGCCCTTTGAAAAATTGGCTTACGAACAGAACTTTCGACGAAATGGATGGCTTGATGGACGACGTTAAGGCGTGGATCGCCTATAAGAATCGAAACTTCTTCGCCTGTGGAATTCGACTGCTTAGAAAACGGGAAGCAATGCTTTACTTAATTGGTGGATATGACGGGAGTAGTTATTTGAACATGTCCTTGCCAAATATTTCTATCGTTCTTCAAACTAAACTTGCTGAAAAAATCCGCAATAATTACGCCTCAACCTAATGGGCCATATCCCTTTCAACTCAGCCTTTACAAATTTAACATTCATGTTCCGCTTGTCTTAAAAATACTAATCCGAAGGAGCTAGACCATTCAAAGATTACTGGGTCCGCCCTAGGATGCGCCATGCATGAGAACTTTATTTGACATATTGTTATGTTGTATTGAGATTTGTTTATGAAACATGTCTTGTTTGAAACGGCTCCTACCCACTTGCTCAAACGACAATACGTCCTTTTCCGAAGAATTTTTTTACAGAAGCTCAGGATACCCTATAATTCTTGTGAACAACCTAAATTCTGGTCAGATTATGGGCCATAAAAAACAAAAGGCTTCTGGAATGACTTCTTTCGGAGAGTCCTAAAACGTCGTTAGAAGAAACCCTCTTACAATTGACCATGCATTCTTGATTTCTTTGTTTTCAGATCCATTCGAATTTGATCTATACGAAGAGCCTCCAAACGATTCTGATGAAGCGTTCGATCGTATGGCTACATTGTGTGCACGACTTCACAAGCGTGAATCGTTCATGAGAGATCGGAAAGCGTCTCCATTAGTGTTCCGTCTGTGTGATATGCTGAACTGAGACACCACCATCGCCACCACCACCACCACCACCGTCACGAATTCGATTTTCAATCGTCATCGATTCCTGATCGAAGATCATGGTTGGAAAATCATCGCCAATACAGACACTCAGACAGACACACTCACTAGATCTCTTCCTTCCTCGGTTCCTTCCATCATTCTCATCGTATGATCTCAAAATGGCTCTGGACTAATCCATATATGGCCAGATTCCGTCATTAGCTCTAGTTAGAAGTCGTTCGTTCATCGTTTGCCCCTGATATTTTGCCATCATCATCTCATCCCTTTTATCCCCCATCATCGGCTGTCCATATAAGTAAGCTTTTAGCAGTAATGAGTTACCTACATACCATAATTCTCTCTCATCTCATTTATTTACAATACAATTGTAACAGTAATACATTATATTAGAAAATGAGAATCAATGAATGTGAATATTTTCATTACTGTGTTTTACTCTTTTATATAAATGTCGAACGTGTTGAGTGATGATTTCCATGAAAAAAGGTGGATGATAAAAGAAACAGCAAAGTGATGATAAGGATTTGAAGTTGTCATTTAAAGAGTAATCAGTAATTCGTTGGAATATTTCTTGGATCATGACCTAATTGTCGCGGTATTCGATGGAACTTACCGAGTTCGTAAAAAGATAAGAAGTTGACCCAGTTCGTCGACGGCCATTTTCGGACATCAACATCACTTTTCTCACGACATCCGTTCCCGACTATCCAAACTTTAAGGCCAACCCATAGCTCTAGTCTTAAACTGATCCGTTTAGTAACCCCTTTTCCTTCCTCCTTTCCTATCAATGAGTTACGTAGGCTTTTCATAAACAGGACGATTCTTGAATGGCCTATACCAGTCTATTTTCCAATTTTAAGGTGCTTTATGGAACAGTCTTTATTCACAGTCATCTCATTCCCCCTTCTCGATTCGCCGTTCTCCAACTATGAAAGAATGTAGAGCTGGAAAGCAATTGGGATAGAGAAATCGAAGGTCAAACTTCCTTTCTACTGCTCCGAACTTGGCACTCAACATGGATTTCGATGAGTCTTAGNAATCCTGGAAACAAATCCAAAGAAAACTTTCCCTGCTCCCCTCTTTTTGACAGGTTCTGTTTACTAAAGTTTTTGCCTACAATCTTAATGTCTAGAAGAGACACCGATGAAATCGAAATTAGGCTTAAAAATAAACACTCATTTAAATTTTGGACTTGTTTTGTTGAACTTCTGGCGTTTAGTACATTGGTACATGTTGATGCACCGCGACCGCGCGCTTAGTTGTCATGTAATTCTCATAGAGTCCAATTCATAGTATCCAGTGTCGCCCAAACAACAGATTCAAACTTAATCTTACCTTCATTCTTGTATAACCATAGCTAAAATCGGATATTTCCGACAATTCCGTTTCGAAATACGTCGTCGCCACCAGTTCATAGCCCTGATTAACTGACTTTTCAGGGAAAAAAGTGCGTAAATGGATTGGGTCCCAAGTTCACGCCTGGCGACTTTCTCAGCCTCGGTGCTATCAACCGTATCTATAATTTCGGTCATTATCGGATTGCCAATGATGCATATGCACATCCAAAAACTTACCTCAGAGATGTTGTCCGAAGTCGAATTGTGCAAGGTTTGTAGTCATGCGAAAACTTCCTTCTTCAGAAAATTTTGGGTGCGCTTCGTTGCGCATGTCCGTCGAATCTAGGTCACGCCGCAGCCGTCGCACGCGGCGAGTCGGCCCGCGATATTTGACAGACGTCGTAGTTGTCACTGGGGCATACGCTTTGCGTTTGGTCCACGGCAGTCAGTTCAAGAAGAAGATAACACAGACAAATGCAAAACATTTGCTCCAACGACACTTGGTGGTACTGTAATATCATCT